GAAGTTGAAATTTGAGTTCAAAACCTTGCCAGGTAAAGGTATTCTCCAGGCACTGGGCATCCTTCACAAATGTTAAAGAAAGCTATGTGTGGTCATGATACAATATAAATGTATTTAATTTTTTTATTTATACATTTATACAAACCATACCCTAAAATGTAGTATAGAGTTAAATACAATGTGTATCTAGAGCTAAATCAGTGGTTTTAGAATTGACCTGTGGAGTTCAGTGATCTAACACCTGTCAGTCTTCAGGTAGTGGTAGTCCTGGCTATTTGCTCCCCTGTGTAGGACTCCTGTAGAGTTTCTAAAGTGTTTCACCACTAAGTTCCATAATACATCTCTCTACACTCTGTGCATCTGCTCCATATCAGTCTTTGTTAAGGGTTAATTTAACTGTGATAAAATCTGTAAATAGACACCAGAATTTCGAGTGTTAGTGACACAAAAGGTGAGGAGAAGCAAACTACACAATGACCTGGAGAGTTTAAAGCAGGGAGAAATCCCATACTAATAAATGTGAAATCCTACATCAGGAGAGAGGTAATAAGTCACGCATATTTAAAAGAGGTGTCACCAAACAGCTACATCCATCATATTTTCTCCTTAATACTTTCCCATTATATGTAACCAACTGTTGTAATTTCAGTGGGAGAGATGTGGGATCAAAGTAGGGAGTTCAAAAAAGAGGCATTCCTACAGAGAATATCCTGTCTAACAAAGTAAAGTACAGTATGAAAAGATTTTAGAACCACTGGGTTAACTAAAACAAAGGAACAGAGACACAGAAATTAAGAGATACAGGCAAGGAAGAAAAGAGAGATTTTCAGATAAGATTTGAACTGAGAGGAAGAATCGGTGAGGAAGATGGATACTGGGTGGCTGTTCCAGATGTTGAGATGCAGAAGACCTGGTTCTTGTAACAAAAGTGGTGAGATTGTGGGAAGGAACAGAGCAGAGGCCAGTGTTGAATAAGTGGAGGGAGTAGGGAGGGAAGTAGTGACAAAGTAGCAGATTCATGGAGGCTTTTATGAACAGAGGACAAGATGAGTTTTTCCTGCTGGTATAGCTCATCATAGAAATGGATGAAATATAATTTTAAACCAAGAGACAAACCCAATGCCCTTTCAGAGGTCATACTTCAGAGACTCACAGCTGAGAGTCTGTGGAGGCCTGTTGAAGGCTTTGACACCCCTGTCGTGTGAAAAAGGATACCATAATTGAGACTTCATTTTTTTGATGGAGAGGATCTTATTTGATGATTATTATATAGGAATATCCTCTGTTGGTTTTCTCTTTTTTTCTTAAGTGATTGGTGGTGCACGGGGAAGGAATCTCTTACCTGAGGAAGCCTGTGGTATATCAGGTAAAACATCTGGGACAACTGAGAAACCTAGCATAGTCAGTTTCTAACTCAGAAGTGCTGTTTTATATCCATTTTTAGTCTTAGCTTTGAGCGGCACATGCACACAGCAGTTACCTGCCTAAAGAAAAGTTGGTCATAAACCAAAAATTTCGGTCTACAGTGCAGCTCTTGCGTGTGCAAGTTCTGAAAGCTAGCCCTGCAGTTTCCCGCCTGAGGCATTCCCCATGCCACAGATGTGTCTGCTTCACTCATTCCCTTCCCACAGGATATAGTGGTTAGACCACTGTGTTCACAGATTTTTTACAGTGGCGTAAGAATGCTTGCCATGGGGTCTGAGCAGAGGTACGCCACAACCCCATAAGGTGAGAAAGGAAGTGACTGTAGTAGCCCAATGACATAACAGTTAAGACTGCAGGATGTTGGAGATGGGGGGGGGGAGTTACTCACATGTTTCCCCATAGTATAGTAAGCTGTTTTTCCTCATAAACACTTCCAGCAGCTGTAAGGCTATGTTCTAGAAATTTCCATCCTTCTGCATATTCTGTAGCTGTAGGAGAGGAACGCAGTACAGTTATTCCAGGCGGTCAGCAGACTCCTAATTAGAAGTCCCCAATTAGTTTTCAGAAGTCCATAGAAGTTTTTTGTTTCCAAGCCCAATAGGCAGAGGCTTATAAAAATACTCCTTATTCTTCAGCATTATGCATGGAGTTGGGAATGGATTTAACATTCATTATTAGCCAAATGACTTTTCTTTGACTGACTTCTTTAACAAAAAACTTTCAGACTTGGAAAAAAAAAAAACCATTTCAAATGGTATCCTACCAATAGACTTTTGTTATTTCTATCTTGATATTTTTTGCTAAATTTTGAAGATATGTGTATTCCATCTCTTTAATGGCTGTCATCCAAAACTTCCAGTGAAATCAGAATGCTGAATTTGTAACATCTTCATGCTACACCTTGGATATCAGAACAAGGTTAAACCTTAACAGCAGAAGTATCAGAAAGCGAAGTTAGACTGTCAAAAATCCTTTTTGAAAACTTAAAAAAAACCAAAAGTAGAAATACAGAAAATGACTGACCGGGTGAACTGTTCTATATGTTACCTTCATCACAGAGGTGTTGCAAAAGTTAATTTGGGTTGGGATTTTCAAAGAAGCCTAAGGGAGTTAAGCTCCTAAATCAAATTGAAATGGAATGAGGATCTGAGTGCCTAACTCTTTTAGGTTCCTTTAAAAACCCTAGCCTTACAGTCTGTAAAATTCTCTGAACACAGTAAGTGCTGTATAATTGCTAAGTACTAGTAGTATATTTCCTACTGGATCATTGTGAAAGCCACTTGAAACCAAATCAGTAATGTGTATAATGTCTTCAGTCCCACTTCCCAGTTCTGTGAATGAGAGGCATTCTTTTCCAGTGTTTACCTCTGTATACCCTTCTTTTCCTATAATGGCACTAAGACAGTTTTTACAAGTGTTAGTGTGCATTGAAATTTGTCAACCATGTAATGCTTCTCAAAGTCATTGCTTTCAATGAGTGCTGCTGTATTGAAATTCATGTTAAGTATCTCTCAGTTCCCATAATGCATTCTTTCACACATGCTTCCTAGTTCATATAAATTATCTGAGAGACAGTTTTATTTATTTTATGATTTGTTATAAACAATCAAGATCAGATATTTTGAGTGTAATAGATAAGATTCTGATCTGTGCATCTACTTAAAAGGAAATCATTTTTAAAACGATTTAGTCTTAAATATAATAAAAACAACCAGAGAGAAATCTGCCATCTTGACAACTAATTAGTTATTTGTAAAGTGCTATGTAAGTGCAACTAGTATTAATATTGACTGATGAAGAGTAGGACTGATAATTCAGATCTTGTTTGCCTAAATGGAGAAAAGGGGCAGTACAATTCTGTAAGTTAAGTTGTTGTTGTTTTTTTTTCAAGTGCAATTTAGTGGTAACCATTGTTAAATTAACCCAAAATCTGAGATTTAGAACTTGCCTACAACAACTTTGAAAGCCCTTGCTATTCGAATGCAGTCAAATGAAATCTGAATTCTCTATCCTAAGAAGGATCATTAGAGTGGCAGCTTCTACTGAGAAACTATTCAGTTATGGAGATAGTGAATCACTAACAGGTATTTCTCCAAACAGCTCTGAACATTCATTTAATGTATATTATTATTTAGTCAATCTTTAGTTATGTAATGTATAAAGACATACATAAAACTGTTGTATATCTTCTCTAATGTAGAATTCTCAAACTTTTTCATACTTTTGGGACCACATTTTAATAGAGCGCTTGTCTTAGGAACACCTCCCCTTGCATTTGCTTGTTGGGATAGTAATATTAGGTTAGTATTTAATGTATTTTTAACTGTCTCTCTTAAAGCAGGTCAGCAGCTGGAAACAAAGAGAGCAGGCACCATGTGATAAGCCAACTCTCCTCAGACTACCAGCAAGTGTTCCATGGATCTCAGTCTGAGAACCACTGACTAAATAAATCCCATACGAAACACTTTTACTTTTTCACTATTGCCTCAGCCTTACCTTAAGTGCAATTCAGGAAAGAGGAACATAGGAATTATCTTACTGGACCAGACTGAGGATACATCTGCTCCAGTATCGTGTCTTTGGCAGTGGCTAGTACCAGGTCAAGGACATTTTATCCTGTCTAATCTGACTGTGGGTGATGGTATTATTGATATACATAATATAACTTTTTTAAAAATTTTACTAAACCCTGGAGCTCAATATCATGTTGCCATGAGTTCCATATGTGATTTATGCTTTGTGTAAAAAATATAAAAAGTAATTCTTTTGATTCGTTTGTTTCCTTTTAATTTCACTGGACATACCTTGTTCTTGTATTATGAACTAGTAACTAGGAGTTCCCAACTGACTTCATGCAATTGTTATTTGATATATCTCTATTATGTTACCTCTAATTCATCTTCCCTCCAAAGTAATTATTTCTCATCTTTATAAACTCCCACATGACAAACTCTCTCTCTTAATTTTTCTTACCTTTCTTTGGATTTTTTCCATTTCTGCTATATCCTTTTTGAAAACTGAATTTGAGTGTTCAAATAGAGAGTGAACTTTTTCTGGTGCATTGGTTTATATTATGCCATTTATAATATCTTCAGTATTGATTTGTATCCCTTTATTAATATGGCTTCATAGTTTTTCTTTTTGACCAACACTTCGCATTTAACAGATGTTTTCATTGAGCTGTCCACATTGATGCCTTTTTCCTTAAACAGTTTAATCAAGTACTTAATTCCCCTGTACACACATGCACAGTGCAATCCTTATTAGTGCAACTCAGAGGATGAGAGAGTTAATTACAAAGCTAATTTAGCTGCACAGTGAAGTGAAGTAGCCTGTATATTCAAGCTAATTTTTACTTTTGCTCTGTGGCTACACTTAATCATTAGTATGTTGTGTATTTTGTACAAATATTGTGTACTTTAAATATCAGTGATTTTCATGGGCTTTGTCTAACATGCACAGTGTAGCACACAGTGTTATAAGATATATTTCCTTGGCTATTTCCCTCTGCCTTGTAGCACTTACATTTACTTTCAACTGAGTAAATTGAATTTCTCAATTTTTTTCCATCATAGACTCAGAATCGCATGAAGTTGATGGCAGATAACTATGAGGATGACCACCTCAAATCCTCATCCCATTCCAACCAAACCAACCACAAACCCTCTCCAGACCAGGTAATACTTCTCTCCTTTTCCCTTTTAAAATGACTTTTAACTACTGGGCCTGATTATTTTTGAGTCATATGTAGCTTTTCCCAACATGCATGAAGTCTCTAGGAACAAAAACGACATTCCAGAGTGAACTTAGAAGACAGAAATGTTTGCAGCTGTTTTGCTGGCTTTCTTGAAGACCCTTGCAAGATGCACAGATGCTCCCAAGTACTAAGTTGTTTTTAGTAGGGTGAAGAGGGGACAAAGGAATGTTAATATCTTGACTATGTCATGAAATGTAAGGTAGGAGCTGTCTCCTAGCACGTTCAGATTTCGGTAATACAAGTCACCTGTTCTGGAGTGCTTGGAGTGGTTTTATCATTCTTGCTGTAACTCATGTGAGAATAATCACCTCTAATAAGAGGGGTCTTGAATTGTTTCTCTCTGTGAATAGCAGGAAATCTTAGTCAGGATCAGCTTCTAGGTCTCTGGATTGTGTATGGGCAATTACTTGCATTTCCCAGAAGGAAATCCTAACCTGTATGCCAGACGAGCACAAGTTGTGCCCTCTGAAGCTCATGAACTGAAAAAAGATAAATTTACCATTTCTAAGGCATAGCAGAGCCTCATGTGTCATTTACTAAAATCAGCCATGTATTTGATATCTATCCCTTGGGTAACACAGAGACTGCCAACCTAATTACAAATTTCACATTGAAACCTCACGTGTTCCAGGTTAATTAAAAATTCAAAAACTGTAATTGCTCCCTAGACTGAGACATGGGAATAGCTAACCTTTCTCAATCCTCTGGCTGACCTGTAAGTAGCATTGATGGGTTCTAAAGGGAGCTGAATCTCATCCTGGTCTGCTGAAGAATGGGTCATTGTACCATGGCAGTTCTAAGGGGAATGAAAGTAGAAAATGGAGGAGCCTAAACACATACGCACACACCCCCAAAATCCCATATTTAAAAACTTCCTTTCATAGCTACACCAGACTCCCTCTGAAAATAATATTGTGAAAAAATGTTGAAGACATGGTGTTCATTGTTCTAGAGGGGATAAAAGTGATGCAAACAGAGGAATGAGTATAAAATTTTCTTTCTACTTAACCACCTTCCTGAGATTGTAAATGAAGAACCTCATGAATGAGTGGCTTGAGGCCTCCAGGACTTTCTTTGCAGGTGTCAGACCTATTTTCTTTGAGAGAAGGATTATCAATATTGAAGATCAAAACAGTGGTCTCCAAATCTCAATTTCCTTGGGAGTAGAAGAGTATCTGCTATTTTACACACTGAAGTGTTGTAGTGAAATAAGGACATTTTCCAAATTTGTATATGGCACCTGACTGAAAATGAAGGCACTGGTAATGTGAACAGGTTAAGAACCAAAAGACTTCTAAATATGATCTCGCAGTGGGAGACAGGTTACATTTTCAGTTTATGTAAACAAATTCTGAGTAACTGAGCAAAGTTTAAAAGAGAATTAAGAAAGCTGTTTCCAATGGTTCAAGTTATTGGAAAGCAGCAGAGCAGAGGACACAGGGAGTTGGAGGCCACTTTTTTCTACTACTAGTACTTTATAATTATGTCTGTGCTTTAAATACTAACCAACTCTTTATTTCATTCCCATGCTGCTCTGGGGCTTTTTCCCTTTGTCATCTCTCAACCAATAGGATGAGGAGGAGGGTATTTGGGCATAGCCAATCAGATGCTCTTAGTTCAGCCATTTTGTTCAGAACGGTGAGAATCAGCTTTCCTTACCAGTAGAAAAGTTTCCCACGGTCACTCTTGCATCTTGCTTCTGTGTGATTCATGAAATCCGGGTGTGTTTCCTTTCCCTTTCTCACGAGGTCTATGCATGTGGATGTTTCCTACTTACTTGTTGTGTTTTTTATTTCTTCTGTGTGTTAAGAATCAAGTTATTGTTTCATGACACTATGGGGAGAACTTTCCAGGGCATGTAATTGAATTTATATGTGTATATGCAAAGCAACACCATGATTCATGTGAAAGAGAGTAGGAAATGTGTCCTCTACAATTTACCATTAACCTCATGGTGGAAAATGTTTCCGGTCAGACCCTTTTTGTTTTTTCACAAATCAATTTTCACTGTAGCCAAACCTTTTTCAAATCCTGGTCAGTAATGAATGAGCTCAGAGGTAATATTTCTACCTGGAGATTACATATTTTGAGTATGCTGAGCTCTGCTGCTGAGAACAATGCCAGGTAGATGACCCAAAGCACCAAGTTGCCCCAAATATGTATTAACTCAGAGGAGATGGCTGTTAATAATGACTACACAGAATAGGGGATTTTTAGAAAATTAATAGAAAAAATAAGACTCTCCAATTTCTCTCTACATTCCCCTGATTAATTGCCACATTACATATGTGTCATTGCACAGATCAAGTCATTCAGCTGGAAAATTTATTCCACCTGTGACAGTCAAACTTCAATTTCATGCCTTGGGATTTGAACTGAGGAAATCCTTTTATGGAAAAAAATGGATAATGTGATTAATTCACACTCCTTGGTGATCTCACACTCCTTTTGAGTCATGATTCTTGCAATGCTTGTGTGTTAGTGTCTGGTGTTAAGTGTGTAAAGCAATTAGAATGTGTGTAAAGCTCTTGCTGAAGAATGCCATTAAGGATTGAGAGATGAGGTAAGTTGATGGCAAAAAGGAAGAAAGCACTTTGAAGGTAGGAGTCATTCAAACTGATGTTCATTCCAAATTAAAAAGATGGTGTAGCAGATACTGATCAAAAGGTCTTTCCATTGACCACCCTGTGTACTGAGAAGGGGATAAAGCTTAGGAAAATGAGTGTGCTGAGTGTGTTTTTACCATTTTCACAGACTAGAAGTTTGCCAAATTAAGGCAGTTGTGGGTTGCCTGTCTGTTAAACACACACATGTTCTTCAGCTTCCATGCCACGGCAGAGAAGCAAAGAGGAAAAGCTACACAATATTATGAGGATAATGTGGTAGCTAGAGGCCTCTCCTTCCATGTGTCCCAACAGAGAAGACTCTGTCAACCACAAGCCCTTCATATATACCCCAGCAGGGGAAAGAGTGTGAGAGTAATAAGTGCCACCCGAGCCAGCAATCCCTAGTGTGATAACATTTTTAGCAGAGTGTTCCATGTATACTAGAAGGGGAGAGTGTGCCACAGCCCTTCCCACTTCTTATATGCTAAAAAGAGAAGGTTTGTTGGCCACAGAGTCCATTTTTTATTTTTGCAATTGTAAAATTTAGTTAATTTATTCAAGTTCATTAATGTAAGAGATTGATAGCATAGGAAGCCAGCTTTGTTTTTTCCAAGAAATTGTTCTAGCCATGGACATCTATACACTTCTGCTCAGTACTGAAGAAAAAGGACTTGTATACATGGTGCATTAGTCTGCTCTAGAGGGGCAAATTCTAGTGCACACTAGTGTGTTGTGCACTACATGCTTTGTGTGGACCCTGCTGGCGTGCACTAAGAATTCTACTGTGCATGCTGGTGTAGCCCCATTTCAAATAGTACCACGTTAATGCTCAGTAGGGAACTTTTAATGTTCACCAGCCACGTCCACATGGGCTAGTTCATGCATAACGCACTAGTGCACACTAGAATTTATGTCCCTGTAGTGCAGACTAATGCACTGTGTAGACAAACACATACTAGAGGCCATCAAAACATTTACCACACGTAACTCAATGTTTATACTGTAGCATCTGAACCTAACCCAAATTACTGGTAATGTTTAATTATACTTAACTCAATGCATGACAGCAGTATTGTATACATGCTCTCTTGAAACATAGCACTGCCTCTACCAGTATGTAGTATATCTACAGCTGTACTGTGTGCTCAGAGATTGCAAATCTAACAGACATGCTTTACCTATGAACACTGACAGTCTTCTCTGTAGCCTCACTGCCTTACCTTCTGGATTCTTTCCACGTATCCTTTCATTCCTCATAGGTGCTCTTATTCGTCTATTTTGGATACCCTTTTCTTCCTTTCTTAGAGTATGCTCATTTTTTATGAGCATCAACTCTGCCCCTTCATCCTTCTTAAGTGTTAAATTCTGCTAGCCATTGGCAAAGCGAGTGCCATAGTTGGTTTATTACTGCTCATTGTTACCAATAATAGTATGGTTTTATGTATGCTAACATAAGAGTGATTGGCTGAGTGGACTTGTAGGCTCTAAAGTTTTACATTGTTTTATTTTTGAATGCAGTTATTTTTTGGTACCTTATTCTACATTTGTAAGTTAAACTTTCATGATAGAGATTGCACTACAGTACCTGTATTAGGTGAATTGAAAAATACAATTTCTTTTGTTTTTTACAGTGCAAATATTTGTCACCAAAAATAAATATAAAGTAAGCACTGTACATTTTGCATTCTGTGTTCTAATTGAAATCAATATATTTGAAAATGTAGAAAACATCCAAAAATATTTTAAGTAAATGGTATTCTATTATTGTTTAACAGTGCAATTAATCGCAATTAATTTTTTAATCACACAGTTAATCACAATTAATTCTTTTAATCGCTTGACAGCCCTAGTATTATTGTTTTACAACATAACATTTCAGAGATCACGTGGTGTTGTGACCTCATTCCTACTTGATTCCCGAAGTTGCGCTGGACTTTCATTTGAATCAATCTGTTAATTTATCTTTTTTTTAAGACCCCACTCCTCTCCAGGAGATAAGAAATTCCATACCTTGGATATTTCAAGGGTCTCGTTATCCTAACTTGATGGAATAAAGGCCTTTTAGACTTTCTCTTCATCTTTTTATTGCCCTCTCATTTGCTTCTAAGGGTCAAGCCATCTTCTCTCAGAGAAGTTCAAAATAGATTATGTAGCGTATATCAATGTGCTATCATATGGTCTTCCAAATATTCAAGCTCACTCCACTAGAACATAAGCTGTGTCCTCTGCTTGCTTCAGGAACATTCCTGTATGCAAAAATTGCAAGGAAGCTATGTGGAATAAACATCTTACTTTTATTAAATACAATGTTTTT